GCGCCGTCCGCCTCCTCCGCGTCAAGGGAGGCGCGCAGCTCCTGCAGCCGCTCCCGCAGCGTCTCAATCTCGGCGCGGCTGAGGCGCGAGCGCTCCTGTCGCTCCGCCCACCGCTGCTGGTTGCGCTTGCGCTTCGCCGCCAGCCGCTGCTCGTCCATCGCAGGCACAGAAAACTAACACCCGCTCTCACCGAACAGCTACGCAGTAACCCTTGTTGTTGTTGTTGTTGCTGCTGTTGTTATTGCTGGCCTGTTTGTCTTCGCTTGTTGCTGCTCTGGCTAAAGGTGCATGAGGAGAGGGGGAGCCACACGGAAAAGGGAGGCGGCAGCGGAGCAGGCAGTCACCGGGCACAGGGACGAAAAGGCGCATTGGCCGCGTTGCCGCTGTGCGGGCCACAACAAAGATCACACGGAACCCCAATGCAGTGCACTGTCACACACACACACACACACACTGAATACTGCAACAACAAAAAAAAACAAAAAAAACAGCGAACATTCAAAAGAACGTGGCTGTCGCTGCCGCCCACGGAGCAGCACAATCTCCCACACCCGCGTACACAGCCACGGGATGCAAAGCGCTCAGGTGTATGCTTACATAACAACGCCGAAGGCACGCCACAACAATAGCGCCACTCCTCTCGCCCCAGATCAGCCACACACACACACACACACACAAACAGACAGACAGACAGAGAGAGATAGAGAGACACCTCTCTCAGAAGGCGCGGAAGGTGATACTCATCTCCGCCAGCTCCTCGGGCCTCGCCTCGCGATCCCGCACCGCCGCGAGCTGCTCACGCAGACTGGCAATGCGCGTCATGATGACATCCTTGCGGAACTTCGAGAGGTGCAGGCGGACGAGACTCAGCGCGCCATGGATGTCGGCGTAGCCGGCCTCCTTGAACACCCACTTCGCCACCGACTCGGCGATGAGGAGGTTGTGCACGTATCCCTCGCTGCCGATGCTGCCGCATGTCGGGCAGCGGAAGAGGCTGGGCGCGATGGTGAGCGAGTCGAAGCAGACGAGGCAGAAGGTGTGGCCGCACGGCCAGAACACGACGGGGTCCTCAAAGAGCAGCCCGCACACGCGGCACGTCAGCGTTTCCTCGAGCGCCTCGTTCACGTCGGTGAGCTCCTCCACGAGATTGTCGAGACGCCGCACGTGAGCGCGGAACACCTCCTCCTTCTCCGCGAAGCGTCGCAGCCACACCAGCTGCTGCTCGAGCGTGTCCGAGAGAATGTTGTTCTGCAGCCCAACGGTGCGGTACCGCGGGCCGCGCGCCAGCTCGTCCTCGAACGTCCGCCCCACCGTCACATCGCCCAGCTCCTGCAGCGTGCGCCACAGCCAATATCGGTGTAGCATGTTCACGCGGCTCACGTAGCGAGCGCGAATGAGCTCCTCGTTAAGCACCACCTGCGCGCGCAGCGCCACCACCTCCGACTCCATCGCGACACGTGCGTCGCTCACGACCGTCTCGCGCATGTCGACAATGCGGTCCACTACCCGAGTCATGAGCAGCAGCCGCCGCATCATTTTCTCCGTCTTGGCAATCTCCAGCTCGAGCTTCACCTCCTTGTCCCTCGTGCGCCGCCCCAGGGTGGGGAGGGCCGCACCGCCATCACTGTGCATCTTCTCCAGCTCCAGCTCCGCAAGTCGCTTGCGCAGCGAAATGAGAGAGTTAGCGAGCTCTACGGCAATCTGCTGCGGCCGCCGCATCGACAGCAGGTTCTCCAGCGGCGTCACCGCCACCTCGAGCGGCGACACCGGGTCGCCAGAGTTCGCCGTCTCTCCCGGTGCTGGCGGCACAGGCGTCACGGCGGGTGACTGTCGTTGTTGCTTCTGAGTCGGGTTCGGCGACTGTCGTTGTTGCTTCTGAGTCGGCCTCGGCGACTGTCGCTGCTGCTTCTGAGTCGGGCTCGGCGACTGCCGCTGTTGCTTCTGAGTCGGGCTCGGCGACTGTCGTTGTTGCTTCTGAGTCGGGCTCGGCGACTGTCGCTGCTGCTTCTGGCTTGCGCTCGGCGACTGTCGCTGCTGTTTCTGGCTTGCGCTCGGCGACTGTCGTTGTTGCTTCTGGCTTGTGCTCGGCGACTGTCGCTGCTGCTTTTGGCTCGTCTCCGGTGACGGCGACTCGGCCTTCTTCCCGCCGCGCAACTTCTTGGCCATCTACGGGTAAAGAAGTTTTTCTGTTGCTTAACGAGAGAAAAAAAGGGATTGTACTCTACGAGCGCCTTGGATGCGCATTACGCAACGGAGACAGAAACGCAGGCGAAAAGGAGACAGAGGGAAGGAGTGGAGGTGCAACAAAGAGCACGACACACACGTACACAGCCGCACAAAACGAACGAACGGAAGAACAGGGAGGCAACCTCTGCGCGCACAGAGACTCTGACTCAAAGCCGCTACTCTTATTCTTCTTCCTGCTTTTGTTCACAGGAACTCCGCCTCGGGTGTCCACGAGCCGTCCAGCAGCCCGATACGTCGGCCCTTAAGACTGTACACTCGCTCCCGCTGGAGCACTGGCTCGAAGCACTTGCGGCAGTGGAAGTCTACGACTGTTTTCGTCGCCACGCCACCCGCGGCATCGACGGCGTCGGCGTCAATGCAGACCTCCCGCAGGTGCGTGAAGACACGCGGGAAGTCGCAGTCACCGCGCAATGCGACAACGCCCCACGACGTCTTTGCGGCGCCCGCACCTCCTCCCGCCACCGCTGCCGCCTGCGGCACTGCAGCGTCGGGGTCGCCCAGCACAAATGTATCAAGGTTCTCGCGGACGTAGGCCTCAATGCGCGGCGGCAGCGGCGTCGGCGGGGCCGTGACGGTGAACTCCAAAAGACTCACCGGATGCACGGAGTAGTACGCGTTGCGCTTCACCTGATACGTGCACACGCACGAAGACGAAGACGATGATGATGAGGACGCTGCTGCTGCTCCCGCACAAGGGGGTGGGAGAGAAACAGCGTCATCACTGTCACCACCGGCGGCGCCACGACACGACGGCTCTAACAGAAGATTGGCGTCCACGCGGCGCGGCTCCGTCAGCGGCAGGTGACCCGCCACCAGCACGTCGTACCGCATTGTGAAGCCCCGCAGCGACGTGGCGAATGCATGACGGTCGGCGACGGTTACAAGGACCGGCCCTGAGGCGTGCACGTCTACGTCGTTCACGACACGCACCCTCACCTCCTCCGGCCGCAGCTCGCGCTGCAGAACGGGCTGAACCTCCCGCGAACGCAGCGCCGCCTCAATGAACGACTCCACCGAAACCCGGTGGTAGTTTCCGCCCGCCTCCGCGCGCCGCATCGGGCAGAACGGCGGCTTGTACACCGCGAAGGCGCACCAGCGTGACAGCACTCCCTCATCGCACAGCAGTCGGAGGGACTTGGGGTTGATGAGCCGCCGGTTGCGCAGGAATCGTGTTTGTATTTTCTCGGGTGGGAGCGACACTGACACCTTGGCAAGCTCAGCAGCGTTGCGCAGAAGCGTCTCCTTGCTGTTGCTGCGCAGGACATCTGTGAGCCGCCGCGATGGCGTCTTGGAGGTCATCGATTCGTGCCGTTGTTTGTACTCCTGTTGGTGATACCAATTGTGGGCGTCGTGTGAGACACGCCTGCACCACACAGATATGTATATATGTATATATATAGGAAGCAAACAACAGCAGAAGACAAAAGAGACACTATTCGAAAGAAAAGACGCGCAAAGGTCATTGCCTGCTTAAAAAGGTAGAGCCGAGAAAAACAGAGGCCAGCGGCTTCCCTCGAGGTGTCTTTTCACCACGTAAACGCTCTCTTTCTCACACAGGCACTCGCACACATTCCAAAGGGGCCCCACTCACAAAGAACCGTCTGCCGCCTTCGCATTTTCGGCTGCAACTGTCGGCACATCGTGCGGCGCGGCACGCTGCACGAGCACCGCGAAGGCGTACTCGCGCGCAATTTCCTTCAGCCGCTCATACCGCCCAGACGCCCCACCGTGTCCGGCGCCGAACTCGCAGTGGTGCAGCAGAATCCTCCCCGTCGCAACCGCGTCCTCGCGCTCGCGCAGCCGCGCGGCGAAGGCGAACGACTCCCAGAACCCCACGCGGGTGTCCTGCCACGCCGTCTGTAGCAACACGTGCGGCAGCGCAACACCGGCGGGGGGAATATTATCCATCGGCGACACGGCCCGAAGAAGGCGGTACGCCTCAGCGTCCTCGAGCGGGTTGCCGAACTCCTCCCAATCACACACGGTGAGCGGGAGGGTGGGGTCCAGCAGCGTTGTCAGGCAATCCACGAACGGCACGGACGCGACGACGGCGCGCGTGAGAGACGGGGCCACGTTCATCGCCGCCGCAACAACAAAGCCGCCAGCGGAGGCGCCGCTCGTGACGAGTCGACCCGCCGCGCACCAACCGGTGTCCTGCAGGTACCGCGACACGCTCAAGAAGTCGTTGACGGCGGTGGCGCGTTGCAACTTGCGACCCGCGTCGCGCCACGGGATGCCACACTCACCGCCGCCGCGCACCGCCGCCGCCGCCCACACGAAGCCGCGGTCCAGCAGCGCGAGCCGCTCCGACTCGAACTCAACGTCGCAGCACTCACCGTAGCTGCCGTACACCGTAAGATACATGGGGTTCTCGCCCTTCCGCCGCAGCGCCTTCTTCCAGCAGACGTACACCGGTACCCGCACCACAGCAGCCGGCTCCTTTGTGGGCAACTGCTGCAGCGGCGGCAAGGCATTGCGGAAGGCGTGGTCTGACGGCACCCACACGACCGTGGCGTCATACTCGTCAGCGCGGTACGGCGCCCCGCACACTGCCACGTCACACAGCCGCGAGATACACAGCGTGGCCCCCACCCCCTGCGTCGCTTCAACTTCCTCCAGTGTGCAGGCGAAGATGGCGGTCGGGACCGTAAGGTGCGTGACGACGATGCGCCACGTCCTAGTAGAGAAGGAGACATCGCTCACAGAGCTCACAATACCAAGCAGTAGTCCCCCCTCTTCCTTTTCTTCCAGTTGTTGTTGCTGCTGCTGCTGCTGCAACTGAGAGAGAGGGAATCGAACCTCGCTAAGAGGCGTAAGCGGCCAACACACAATGGTGCGGAGGTCCACGGCGTCGTCACGCAGCGACAACGGCTGCATACGGCCCCCACTGCCGTCGCGCCAGCGCTTCCACAGCGTCCGCACAGGAAGCAGCAGCTCCGTCGCGNGACAACGGCTGCATACGGCCCCCACTGCCGTCGCGCCAGCGCTTCCACAGCGTCCGCACAGGAAGCAGCAGCTCCGTCGCGAACGCCGCGCGCCGCACATTGATAAGCAAGTAGTCCCGCAGGAAATCCACACCCTCCACACTAATATCCGGGTCGTATGCGAAGAGCGCCCGCCACTGCAGCACTGTTGAAAGCGTCTGGCCGCCGTCGCCGCGCAGCGCCACATCGTCGTCAAGCACGTAGGCGACCCGAAAGTTTTCTGGCCCAGGTGGGGCATTTGTCGTCACCACCACCCACGCGCCAACACCGTCACCAAATAGCGATTCGTGGTGGTCAATGTCGTGATCGACGTGTGACGTCCGCTCCGCGAAGCAGTACACCGCACAATGATCACTATTCTTCTTTTCTGCGCCGTTGCTGCCGTGGTTCTTGTGATCACTTTCATCACCCTTCGAGTCGTCATCGTCGACGGCGACGCGAACGACAGGCACACCGCTGACGCGACGCCTAGACCTGGCGTCGCACGGGATAACGTACGCCTCGGCGCAGCTGCCCGAGGCAACGCTGAACATAGCAAAGCGCTCGTCCGCCGAGAAGCAGAGCGAGCCGACCCAGAAGGCTTCGTCCCGCTCCTCGTAACAGATGATGTCAGCCTCCTCCGCCTGCACCAGAGCAGTGAGATCATGGTAGATGATGCGGCACGACCGCATCTTGCCGTCGAGTCCCACGTAAAGCAGCGCGGTGGGGTTCAGCCACAGCACCTCTCCACCTGCGTCAAAGACATCAATGCGGCGTGTTATTTTGTGCTTTGGGGCTACTTGCTGCGTCTGTGTCCGCGTGGTGGGAGAGGCCGCAGCAGCTTGGAAGGCGGAAGTCACGGAGCCACTGTTGTCGTTTCCCCTCCTCCTGCCGCTGCTGCTGCTGCTGCCGTTGTTGTTGTTGTTGTTGTTGGCGGTGCCGCCTCCCTTCCACCTTGCGCCACTCGGTGTTGTCGGGCTGCGCTGTGGTGGCAGCGCAGACGTCGGCGAGGCGTAGATGGACTGCTTCGACCGCAGCATCGCCGCCGCCCAGGAACGGTGCAGCTCTGACTGCTCCTCCAGCCAACGCCCGTAATTTACGTCGATGATATCAAGCACGAAGATGGTGTAAATCTCCTTCCCATTGGAGCAGTCAAGCGCCACTGCGAGCTGCGTCTCGTCGGGCGACACCTCCATCTCGCCTAGCTCCACGTAGCCGAGCCGCAGCTCCTTGACGAGGAGATTCACATCGAGGTACACCACCTCGTCGTCGTACGGTGGCAGCGGCGCGCTCGCGTCATGCGCCCACAACTGCGCGACCTCCTGCACAAAAGCCGCCGTACGATCATTGACGGGACGCCGGCAGTAGACCGGGTAGTCGGCGTTGGGCACGGTGCGCGTGTAGTACCAGTAACTCCGGTCGCGGTACGGCAGCGACGCATCGTCCTCCTTCCAGCGCGCCCGCATCTCGTTGAAGAGAGTGCGGCTCAGTTGCGTTCCGCCGTACGCGTCGTAGACAGATGCCGTGTGTGCATTCTCGCGCTCCAGCAGTCGCCGAACCCCCGGGTTGCGGCGGTCACGCAGCCAGTGGTACGGATCGTTGCGAATATCACCGAAGTGCTCCATCGTGTATGGCTTGCGCGTGTACCGTGGGGGGCCGACAACGCCGCTGCTGCTGCTGCCGCTGCCCCTTCCGTCCTTCCTCCTGGCCACCGGCATTACAAGAGCGAATATATATTATACCCTACCCACCCCCACACACTCTTTCCTCCAAGGCTCAGTGCCCGTGTGCGAGAGAATCGAAAGAAAACAAAAAGCAGACAAAACAGCAATAGCAGCAAGAAATAAAATAGAAATCATGTGAGGCAAGGAAGAAACGTTGGAGCTGACGAAGCTCCATTGCGCATTTAAAAAACGGACACGCAGCCAGGGTGTGAGGCCAAGCATTGTTGGGGTGCGGATTGCACTATCCCTGAATGAGCTGTCGTAAAGAAAATTGAAAGGGCCTGTCGCACGTCGCAGGCGACGCCGCCTCCAGAAGGGACGGCGCGCATCTTTAGAGCCGCTCGCCACGGAATACTTCCGCTGGTACGTCGTCACAGGAAACTTGAGCTTCGAAGCTAAGAACGGGCCCCACGGCTCCCACTCCGGCTTCAGCTCAACAACGGCGCGCTGCAGCACTTCCCCAGGCCTGACTGGATGCCCACGCAATGCGCTCACAGCACACCGTCCGACACACACGCCCCCCCCCC